ATCGAAATATCAAATTAATTCCTCTTTCTATTCCTAAAATAATTTACTTGAAATCCAAGCAAAAATGATACAGAGAAACTTTCTAATACAATTTTAACTTAAGCTACACAGTAACAAAAATTAGTCTGTAATTTAAAATCAAAGAAAATTCTTATCATTAGATATAAACTTGAAACAACAGAAATTATTAACAAAATAAAACCCTGAATGCACAATATTATACTTAACATAGACCTAATGCTCCTGCTTTTTTTAAAAACAAACCATGAAAGTTTAACCTGATTATAGGTTTATAAGAAAGAAATATACATAACATGTTTTGATAGGAGACAGTAACTTGAATTCCTTATATGACTTTTGAATGGACAATATAACCTACTATTTCTGAATAAAGTAATAATAACGACAAAAATTTATTGCTAATTTAGCAGTACTGCTCCTGAAGTGTAAACCAGTCATTATAGCAGAACAGGTATGGAGGAATAGTAAAGGAGACTAAGATTACTTACATATGGCGTTCTCAACCAAGATGGGGGATTTTAGCGTCTCAGGGGAGAAAGGGAAAAACCTTTTACTCTTTCTTGTTTTTTATTTACAGAATTTGAAGACCACCATGAGTGTCAAAAAAAGACGCTATGATGAATCTTATCTTCAGTAGGGATTCACACTGACCTTTGATTGCATTTTTGTTTATTGAATTACAATACCTTGACATTCTATTGAACTTTTTATTTATTGAAGTATTTATTTATTTTTTTGGCATTTCACCCCAAGTAAGTCAGGAGTGTCAATAGCATGGAAGGGGTTACAGAGAGTGAAAGTAAGAGAAAAGAGGTGTGTTTGAGGAAAGGATAAAGAGAAGAATGGGGATCAAGATTAAGGCATCAGAAGATGTCGATTGACATTATATTTAAATTTTTTAAGATTATAGTTGTCAGGGAGCAATTAAGATGAATGGAGTTCCACTGTTAGGAAGTGTGAGAGAAGAGGTGGTTATATTTAACTGTTTCAACAGTAAAAGGTTGGGACTGAGATGCCAACCTAGTAGCATGCAGTTGGGGCACCAACGAAAATAGCTCATCAGAGAAGTTGCCATGAAAATATTTGTAGAAAAGACAAAGGGAACCCATATCATATCTATGAGAAAGTGACTGGAGTCAAGATGCCAGGTCAGTACCTATCACAATGCATCTCCGTCTTTAGATTTTGTCGAGAATCTTGAGATAAGCTGTGGGGGCAGCAGACCATATATGGCAACAGTATTCAATGCAAGGACAAATGGTAGATTTGGAGATTTGAAGGATGGACTCAGCCAAGAAAAAAGACACAGAGAACCAACTTTCCTTGCAGTAGATGTAGCTGCTGATTCAATATAATTGTTCCACCTCAGGTCAGTGAAAAAAGTGAGACCAAGCAGAAAGACGCTATGGTGGATAATAAGAGCAGTTTCATTTTGGAGACATTAGAATTTACAAGCCATCTCCTGACCCAGTCAACCACAGATTGGAGGTCATTTTCAAGACCAGTGGCCAGGTTATCTTTGTCAGCAATGCTGGATTTACTATTGAGACAGGAGTAAATGGTAGTGTCGTCTGCATAGATGCCTACTTGAGAACTGATGATATCAGGAAGATTGTTGATGAAGATCAGAAACAGTGTAGGGCCCAAGATAGAGCCTTGGAGAACACCGGCGTTCATATGCAAAGAACTGGGGGAGAACCTGTTTAGCACAACCTTCATTTCATGGTTTAAAAGGTATGATTGGATTAAATCATATAATCATTCTGGAATACTTTATACTTGAAGCTTATGAAGAAGGCCGGCATGCCAAACACTATCAAACTCCTTAGAGATATCTAGAAGCACATCTTGAGCTTCGCCATTATTATCAAGAGCTTGGTATACAAATTCAGTTATGGCCATAAGCACATCAGTGGTAGACCAGGCAAAGTGGAAACCATATTGTTTGTCAGGGAGTAGATCATGGGAGGTAAGTTGCTTAACTAATTTGGCATTGATTAATGCCTCAAAGACTGAAGAGTGGTAGGATACTGATAAGACAGTAGTTAGATAGGTCAGAAAGATCTCCAGAGTTCTTAAAAACAGGGACAACAGATGAGGACCTACAACAGGCTGGAAAGCAAGAGTCTGTGAGGCAATAGTTATATAGTTTGGAAAGGACTGGAACCAGCTCAGGAGCACATTTCTTTAGGACTATGGCTGGTATCCCATCATAACACTTGCTTTATGAGGGTTTAATTTAGAGATGATGCCCAATACCCAATAGAGCCTGAGTTCTAGGCGGGGGGGAGGGGAATCAGGTGTGGGTACTCCAGATAGATTGAGTGTTGAGTTGGATAAAAATTTCCGAGCAAAGCATTCGTCCTTATCAACTGTGGAAGTTAGAACTTCGAATTGATTAAATAGAGGAGGGATTGTGGATTTGCTGTTGTTCAGCACACTCTTACAGAGTTGCTAATAATCTTTAGAACCAAAACTTATGAGACACAATATATTGTTTCATATTCTATCAGCAAATAGTAACTTTACTTCATTGAGAACATTCACTCATTATGAGCAGAGACAAAGAGACGCATCTATTGCAATCAGACATGTCCCTCTGGTACGGATGGAAGAAGTTATTTCTATGGGCTATAGCAGCTGAGCGAGCAGCTTAGAGCCAATGAGATGAACACGATTTAACTTTGTTTTTCTTGCCGGGATGAAAGCCTCGATGCTGGTTTTTACCCAAGACAAGACCTCAGATGCACATTTTTGAATGGGGTAATTAGAAACCACATTCCAAAGGATGTCATGAAGGAAATCACGGAATGAGTGTCTGAATGGGTGCTGAAAACAGAAAAATATTCTGTTAGTACACAAAAAAAACAAAAGAAATAAAACAAGAAAAACAAAAACAAGTAAACAATAAACAAGGAGTCAATCAACAATGTCCATGTTATCCACAGTTGAAACTGGAATATAAAGTTTCAACTTAATTTAAGTGCCAACATTAACTTCATGTTGAAGACAGCATTCCACATTTGTGAGCCAGGAATAAAAATAACATCCAATACTTTCAACATAAAAAGACAGATGAGCAATGATATATTTTTACTCGTGGCTTTGTAAATGAAACTTAAGTAAGAAGTTTATTCAGTTTATTTGTTTAATAATTAGTTATGAATTAAAACCAATTACTGTAAATGTATTCAAATTTAAAAATCCATCAAGATTTTCTATTGCTATTAAATTTGTAAAATTCCTCTATAAAACTTATCCATGTAAATTTTTATGTACTAATATGGAAAAGAATGAAGATTTTCAATAATATATGCACATTATTGAAATGCACATTTTGAGTTGGATAATCTTGGAAAGAGAGGAGATGACATCCTGACATATCCTGACAAAAGGTTGAAAACCACTGAATTAAAGCTACAAAGGATCAAAAGCTGTGGAAAGCAATGATCATTCATGCCCTGAAGAGAGACAGGAAGAAGAAAATGAATATAAGCCATTGAAGGATTGGCTAGGCAGCTTTTTTCTTTTGATAACTTCTTTGTCAGTGGGAAATGAAGCTACAAATTGTTCAAAGGGCTTCAAATCAAAAGGGCATATAAAACCCATGATGGATGCAATTTACATAATACCATATCAATGTTTTAGCTATATTCAATTATTCAGTAATAAAACATTTTGAGATTTTGTTCTTTATATATTTTATTTTGTTTCTTATATGCTGGAATATACTTTATTTAAATAAATTATTTCTACTTATCTAACCTCAATCTTTTTTCTATAGCTGAGCTGACCAAATCAGGGATACATCTTGAAAGCCTATGGCTCTTTAACAGCAAACCATTTGCTTTTTACCAGGGTCACTCTTATGATGATAAACAACATATATTACTGATAAGTCACTGAAAGTATCTCAATGAGAAAGAAATTATACTTTGTATAATGTTAGTCAGAAAGGAATTTGGGATACAAAAATATATATTATATGTGTGAAAGAACATTGAACCTGTAAGAATGGTCACAGTAATGATATGTCTGGGAACAGGGAATCTATAAATCAGTTCTTTTACTGCAATTTCTTTCAGTTCTGATGCTGAGTTTTCAATGTTATTATGTTTAGGCCAGTGAACTTATTTACTTTCAAGCCATGAATGCTGAAACTATTGTATCAAAATTCTGTTCTCTCTTTCTGTACTATTTATATCTAAGAATACATAAGAGTTAGTCAATGGGAAATTAGCAGAAGGATTATTATTACTAATATAAGTTACATTCTGGACATTATATACAACTGTTACATTCCGTGCTAATAGGAATATATACTTGAAAAACATGGTGGATAAAATAAGTAAAGGGTTATTGTAATAACCAGTACAATGGGAATAAAGGTAACAGTTATGCACAAGGTCATCACAAGTCTATCCAGTAGTGAGTGCTGCTATTGGAAAGTCAGTAGTTCTAACATAAATCTGAGTTGTACTCAATAGATCCCAGCTAGACTCTGTAGTCTGTTGACTTACAGATACTTATAGGTATTTACTACCTATAGTGTAGTCACTCATGAGGGTGACAGGTTATTTCATTACATCAACAACTTATTGGTTAGCTACTCTTTAGCAAGGGAGGAAGGGAGAGAGAGAGAGAGAGAGAGAGAGAGAGAGAGAGAGAAAGAGAGATAGTTTTATAAGTTCTATGCTGTTTCTTCTTGCACACTTTTCACTTCTTCTGGCTTCTTACTTCCCAGTCAACTTTGATCCTCAAAAATTTCAATGTAATATCAATCGTTATCTTCTGTCATTTTTAATTTGTCTTCTTTTACTGTTCCTGCTGCTTAATAGTGCTTTTTCTTAGTTCTCATATTCTCTCACACACAGTAACTCTGTTCATCTTAGTGTCTTTTTGGCCTTGTTTGGGATGAAATGATTAAAAAAAAAAGATGTTTATGAGAAAAATTATATGCAAAAAATAAAGAAAGCTGTTTAAAAGAAGAGATAGATGCAGTGAATAGAAAGAGAGAGAATGAGTGAGAGAGGGGGAGAAGAAGAGAGCTGTTTAAAAGAAGAGATAGATACAGTGAATAGAAAGAGAGAGAATAAGTGAGAGAGGGGGAGAAGAAGAGAGCTGTTTAAAAGAAGAGATAGATGCAGTGAATAGAAAGAGAGAGAATGAGGAGAGAGGGGGGGAGAAGAAGAGAGCTGTTTAAAAGAAGAGATAGATGCAGTGAATAGAAAGAGAGAGAATGAGTGAGAGAGGGGAGAAGAAGAGAGCTGTTTAAAAGAAGAGATAGATGCAGGAATAGAAAGAGAGAGAGAATGAGTGAGAGAGGGGAGAAGAAGAGAGTTGTTTAAAGAAGAGATAGATGCAGTGAATAGAAAGAGAGAGAATGAGTGAGAGAGGGGGAGAAGAAGAGAGCTGTTTAAAAGAAGAGATAGATGCAGTGAATAGAAAGAGAGAGAGAATGAGTGAGAGAGGGGGAGAAGAAGAGAGCTGTTTAAAAGAAGAGATAGATGCAGTGAATAGAAAGAGAGAGAATGAGTGAGAGAGGGGGAGAAGAAGAGAGCTGTTTAAAAGAAGAGATAGATGCAGTGAATAGAAAGAGAGAGAGAATGAGTGAGAGAGGGGGAGAAGAAGAGAGCTGTTTAAAAGAAGAGATAGATGCAGTGAATAGAAAGAGAGAGAGAATGAGTGAGAGAGGGGGAGAAGAAGAGAGCTGTTTAAAAGAAGAGATAGATGCAGTGAATAGAAAGAGAGAGAATGAGGAGAGAGGGGGGAGAAGAAGAGAGCTGTTTAAAAGAAGAGATAGATACAGTGAATAGAAAGAGAGAGAATGAGGAGAGAGGGGAGAAGAAGAGAGCTGTTTAAAAGAGATAGATGCAGGAATAGAAAGAGAGAGAGAATGGGAGAGGGGGGGAGAAGAAGAGAGCTGTTTAAAAGAAGAGATAGATGCAGTGAATAGAAAGAGAGAGAGAATGAGTGAGAGAGGGGGAGAAGAGAGCTGAAAAGAAGAGATAGATGCAGTGAATAGAAAGAGAGAGAATGAGGAGAGAGGGGAAGAAGAGAGCTGTTTAAAAGAAGAGATAGATGCAGGAATAGAAAGAGAGAGAGAAATGAGGAGAGAGGGGAGAAGAAGAGAGCTGTTTAAAAGAAGAGATAGATGCAGGAATAGAAAGAGAGAGAGAATGAGTGAGAGAGAGGGGAGAAGAAGAGAGCTGTTTAAAAGAAGAGATAGATGCAGTGAATAGAAAGAGAGAGAGAATGAGGAGAGAGGGGAGAAGAAGAGAGCTGTTTAAAAGAAGAGATAGATGCAGTGAATAGAAAGAGAGAGAATGAGGAGAGAGAGGGAGAAGAAGAGAGCTGTTTAAAAGAAGAGATAGATGCAGTGAATAGAAAGAGAGAGAGAATGAGAGAGAGAGGGGGGAGAAGAAGAGAGCTGTTTAAAAGAAGAGATAGATGCAGTGAATAGAAAGAGAGAGAGAATGAGTGAGAGAGGGGGAGAAGAAGAGAGCTGTTTAAAAGAAGAGATAGATGCAGTGAATAGAAAGAGAGAGAATGAGTGAGAGAGGGGGAGAAGAAGAGAGCTGTTTAAAAGAAGAGATAGATGCAGTGAATAGAAAGAGAGAGAGAATGAGTGAGAGAGGGGAGAAGAAGAGAGCTGTTTAAAAGAAGAGATAGATGCAGTGAATAGAAAGAGAGAGAGAATGAGTGAGAGAGGGGGAGAAGAAGAGAGCTGTTTAAAAGAAGAGATAGATGCAGTGAATAGAAAGAGAGAGAGAATGAGAGAGAGGGGGAGAAGAAGAGAGCTGTTTAAAAGAAGAGATAGATGCAGTGAATAGAAAGAGAGAGAGAATGAGGAGAGAGGGGAGAAGAAGAGAGCTGTTTAAAAGAAGAGATAGATGCAGGAATAGAAAGAGAGAGAGAATGAGTGAGAGAGGGGAGAAGAAGAGAGCTGTTTAAAAGAAGAGATAGATGCAGTGAATAGAAAGAGAGAGAGAATGAGTGAGAGAGGGGAGAAGAAGAGAGCTGTTTAAAAGAAGAGATAGATGCAGGAATAGAAAGAGAGAGAATGAGTGAGAGAGGGGAGAAGAAGAGAGCTGTTTAAAAGAAGAGATAGATGCAGTGAATAGAAAGAGAGAGAATGAGGAGAGAGGGGGGAAGAAGAGAGCTGTTTAAAAGAAGAGATAGATGCAGTGAATAGAAAGAGAGAGAATGAGGAGAGAGGGGGAGAAGAAGAGCTGTTTAAAAGAAGAGATAGATACAGTGAATAGAAAGAGAGAGAGAATGAGTGAGAGAGGGGAGAAGAAGAGAGCTGTTTAAAAGAAGAGATAGATGCAGGAATAGAAAAAGAGAGAGAATGAGTGAGAGAGGGGAGAAGAAGAGAGCTGTTTAAAAGAAGAGATAGATGCAGTGAATAGAAAGAGAGAGAGAGAATGAGGAGAGAGGGGAGAAGAAGAGAGAATGTTTAAAAAGAAGAGATAGATGCAGTGAATAGAAAGAGAGAGAGAATGAGGAGAGAGGGGGAGAAGAAGAGAGCTGTTTAAAAGAAGAGATAGATGCAGTGAATAGAAAGAGAGAGAGAATGAGAGAGAGAGGGGAGAAGAAGAGATAGATGCTGTTTAAAAGAAGAGATAGATAGAGTGAATAGAAAAGAGAGAGAGAATGAGGAGAGAGGGGAGAAGAAGAGAGCTGTTTAAAAGAAGAGATAGATGCAGTGAATAGAAAGAGAGAGAATGAGTGAGAGAGGGGGAGAAGAAGAGAGCTGTTTAAAAGAAGAGATAGATACAGTGAATAGAAAGAGAGAGAGAATGAGTGAGAGAGGGGGGAGAAGAAGAGAGCTGTTTAAAAGAAGAGATAGATGCAGTGAATAGAAAGAGAGAGAAATGAGGAGAGAGGGGAGAGAAGAGAGCTGTTTAAAAGAAGAGATAGATGCAGTGAATAGAAAGAGAGAGAAATGAGGAGAGAGGGGGAGAAGAAGAGAGCTGTTTAAAAGAAGAGATAGATGCAGGAATAGAAAGAGAGAGAGAATGAGGAGAGAGGGGGGAGAAGAAGAGAGCTGTTTAAAAGAAGAGATAGATGCAGTGAATAGAAAGAGAGAGAGAATGAGGAGAGAGGGGGAGAAGAAGAGAGCTGTTTAAAAGAAGAGATAGATGCAGGGAAAGAAGAAAAAGAAGAGAGAGAGAAAAGAGAGAGAGGGGGGGAAGAAGAGAGCTGTTTAAAAGAAGAGATAGATGCAGTGAATAGAAAGAGAGAGAGAATGAGTGAGAGAGGGGAGAAGAAGAGAGCTGTTTAAAAGAAGAGATAGATGCAGTGAATAGAAAGAGAGAGAGAATGAGGAGAGAGGGGGGAGAAGAAGAGAGCTGTTTAAAAAGAAGAGATAGATGCAGTGAATAGAAAGAGAGAGAGAATGAGGAGAGAGGGGAGAAGAAGAGAGCTGTTTAAAAGAAGAGATAGATACAGTGAATAGAAAGAGAGAGAGAATGAGTGAGAGAGGGGGAGAAGAAGAGAGCTGTTTAAAAGAAGAGATAGATGCAGTGAATAGAAAGAGAGAGAGAATGAGTGAGAGAGGGGGAGAAGAAGAGAGCTGTTTAAAAGAAGAGATAGATGCAGTGAATAGAAAGAGAGAGAGAATGAGTGAGAGAGGGGGAGAAGAAGAGAGCTGTTTAAAAGAAGAGATAGATGCAGGAATAGAAAGAGAGAGAGAAAAAGAAGAGATAGAGAGAGGGGAGAGAGAAGAAGAGAGCTGTTTAAAAGAAGAGATAGATGCAGTGAATAGAAAGAGAGAGAATGAGTGAGAGAGGGGAGAAGAAGAGAGCTGTTTAAAAGAAGAGATAGATGCAGTGAATAGAAAGAGAGAGAGAATGAGAGAGAGAGGGGGAGAAGAAGAGAGCTGTTTAAAAAGAAGAGATAGATGCAGTGAATAGAAAGAGAGAGAGAATGAGTGAGAGAGGGGAGAAGAAGAGAGCTGTTTAAAAGAAGAGATAGATACAGTGAATAGAAAGAGAGAGAATGAATGAGAGAGGGGAGAAGAAGAGAGCTGTTTAAAAGAAGAGATAGATGCAGTGAATAGAAAGAGAGAGAGAATGGGGAGGAGAGGGGGGATGCAGAAGAAGAGAGCTGTTTAAAAGAAGAGATAGATGCAGTGAATAGAAAGAGAGAGAGAATGAGTGAGAGAGGGGAGAAGAAGAGAGCTGTTTAAAAGAAGAGATAGATGCAGTGAATAGAAAGAGAGAGAGATGAGTGAGAGAGGGGAGAAGAAGAGAGCTGTTTAAAAGAAGAGATAGATGCAGGAATAGAAAGAGAGAGAAATGAGTGAGAGAGGGGGGAGAAGAAGAGAGCTGTTTAAAAAGAAGAGATAGATGCAGTGAATAGAAAGAGAGAGAGAATGAGGAGAGAGGGGAGAGAAGAAGAGAGCTGTTTAAAAGAAGAGATAGATGCAGTGAATAGAAAGAGAGAGAGAATGAGAGAGAGGGGAGAAGAAGAGAGCTGTTTAAAAGAAGAGATAGATGCAGTGAATAGAAAGAGAGAGAATGAGTGAGAGAGGGGAGAAGAAGAGAGCTGTTTAAAAGAAGAGATAGATGAAGGAATAGAAAGAGAGAGAAAGAGATGAGAATAGAGAGAGGGGGAGAAGAAGAGAGCTGTTTAAAAGAAGAGATAGATGCAGTGAATAGAAAGAGAGAGAGAATGAGGAGAGAGGGGAGAAGAAGAGAGCTGTTTAAAAGAAGAGATAGATGCAGTGAATAGAAAGAGAGAGAGAGAGAATGAGTGAGAGAGGGGAGAAGAAGAGAGCTGTTTAAAAGAAGAGATAGATGCAGTGAATAGAAAGAGAGAGAGAATGAGTGAGAGAGGGGGGAGAAGAAGAGAGCTGTTTAAAAGAAGAGATAGATGCAGTGAATAGAAAGAGAGAGAATGAGTGAGAGGGGGAGAAGAAGAGAGCTGTTTAAAAGAAGAGATAGATGCAGTGAATAGAAAGAGAGAGAGAATGAGGAGAGAGGGGAGAAGAAGAGAGATAGATTTAAAAAGAAGAGATAGATGCAGTGAATAGAAAGAGAGAGAGAATGAGAAAGAGAGAGGGGGAGAGAAGAAGAGAGCTGTTTAAAAGAAGAGATAGATGCAGTGAATAGAAAGAGAGAGAGAATGAGGAGAGAGGGGAGAAGAAGAGAGCTGTTTAAAAGAAGAGATAGATACAGTGAATAGAAAGAGAGAGAGAATGAGGAGAGAGGGGGAAGAGAAGAAGAGAGCTGAATAGAAAAAGAAGAGATAGATACAGGGAATAGAAAGAGAGAGAGAATGAGAGAGAGAGGGGAGAAGAAGAGAGCTGTTTAAAAGAAGAGATAGATGCAGTGAATAGAAAGAGAGAGAAATGAGGAGAGAGGGGGAGAAGAAGAGAGCTGTTTAAAAGAAGAGATATATACAGTGAATAGAAAGAGAGAGAGAATGAGGAGAGAGGGGGAGAAGAAGAGAGCTGTTTAAAAGAAGAGATAGATGCAGTGAATAGAGCTGTTTAGAGAGAATGAGTGAATAGAGAGAGGGGGAGAAGAAGAGAGAGCTGTTTAAAAAAGAAAGAGAGAGAGAATGAGTGAGAGGGGGGAGAAGAAGAGAGCTGTTTAAAAGAAGAGATAGATGCAGGAATAGAAAGAGAGAGAGAATGAGAGAGAGGGGGGAGAAGAAGAGAGCTGTTTAAAAGAAGAGATAGATGCAGTGAATAGAAAGAGAGAGAATGAGTGAGAGAGGGGGAGAAGAAGAGAGCTGTTTTAAAGAAGAGATAGATGCAGTGAATAGAAAGAGAGAGAGAATGAGGAGAGAGGGGGGAAGAAGAGAGCTGTTTAAAAGAAGAGATAGATGCAGTGAATAGAAAGAGAGAGAGAATGAGTGAGAGAGGGGAGAAGAAGAGAGCTGTTTAAAAGAAGAGATAGATGCAGTGAATAGAAAGAGAGAGAAATGAGGAGAGAGGGGGAGAAGAAGAGAGCTGTTTAAAAGAAGAGATAGATGCAGTGAATAGAAAGAGAGAGAATGAGTGAGAGAGGGGAGAAGAAGAGGGCTGTTTAAAAAGAAGAGATAGATGCAGTGAATAGAAAGAGAGAGAATGAGGAGAGAGGGGAGAAGAAGAGAGCTGTTTAAAAGAAGAGATAGATGCAGTGAATAGAAAGAGAGAGAATGAGGAGAGAGGGGGAGAAGAAGAGAGCTGTTTAAAAGAAGAGATAGATGCAGTGAATAGAAAGAGAGAGAGAAAGAGATAGATGAGAGAGAGGGGAGAAGAAGAGAGCTGTTTAAAAGAAGAGATAGATGCAGTGAATAGAAAGAGAGAGAGAATGAGTGAGAGAGGGGGAGAAGAAGAGAGCTGTTTAAAAGAAGAGATAGATACAGTGAATAGAAAGAGAGAGAATGAGTGAGAGAGGGGGAGAAGAAGAGAGCTGTTTAAAAGAAGAGATAGATGCAGTGAATAGAAAGAGAGAGAATGAGTGAGAGAGGGGGAGAAGAAGAGAGCTGTTTAAAAGAAGAGATGCAGTAAATAGAGAGTGGGTAGAGAGGAAGGGAGAGCTGTTCATATGAAAAAATAGATGCAGTTAACATGGGAGAAGACAAAAGATGTGATTGTGATTGCTGTCTAAAACTTACACAAACAAATATATTGACTTAGGTACTAAAGTTATAAAAACATAGATGAGATCTTGTTTATAAAATGTAAATTAGCACATTTCATGCTGAATTTTCGCTTATAAAAAGAGAATTTCAAATGTTATTGAAGTAATTTTATTCAAATCATATTCTATTATATAACATAAAGGCTTTAATAATGTTAGGATAAGTCTTGATTGAATCTTCATCATAGAGAAAAGTAGGCACAAATTGGAAAAATCTTAAAATTTCTGTTATTTTAAAATATTAAAATAGATTTTCCATTTTGCCTATTTAAATCTTTTTTGTTAGCAAATGACCCACCTTTTCATTTTGTACTATTGGATCCTTATGCTTTTTTCATTTTTTCTTTCACAAGAAATGGCTCATGTTTATTTGAGTTAACAAACACTAACAGATGGTTACTTTATTCTGTTTTTACTTTTAAGTGCAGAACGTTGTTTTATAAGCCTTGCATAATTAAATAGTGTTCAAATACTGTGCAGTTTTACAGGATTTAATTTTTTTTTAAGACTTATTAATATGTGCATTTTAACTGAAAGTTTATATAGTGCTGTATAAAAATCATTCTCAAGCAGGATAATGTTATTTACAGAAAGACAAACATACAAAGCAATTTTGCTGGCTTTTACACAAACCCAATCCAATTAAATATCATTTAGACAGTCAATTAACTGAATCACTTGTTTTCCAATTAATTATATTGAATTTCCTAAGTTCTATTTACATGAATAGAAACATACAAGTTGGATATTATACAGACTTGCTTAAAGGATGCTGAGGGTGACCATTAAGTTTGATACCAGCTCAATTCTCATTTATCTAATATGTATTAATTATTTGCTAATAAATAAGGGATGAATACTTTTTAATTAACCAAGCTTCAGCTACATTTAAAATTTAAAGTTAATTTTACTTGTACTTCTACTAATCCCTAATCAGCAAGAATCTAGTGTTAAGTGATTTTTGATTTTGAACATACATGCTTGCAATTTATAAAAAAAAAAAAAGGTTTTCTATAATATTCTAAAAAAAATGATCATTATAGAGGAAGAAAAAGAAATGAAAAGATAACTAATTTTTGGATAAAATAACGATACCTTAAAATAATAATACATTTATTTTATAAAATTGAACATTTTCTATATAAAAATATATAAAATATTTTTTAAGACAATAAAGATAATGAAGTGGTATGTATATATTACCGAGGACCCTGCATACAAGTAACTATGTAAAAATTTTTTGGTTTTTTTCTTTCTTTTCACGCTCCTACCAACTCCTTGTGCCAGACACAAAATTTAGTTGGCAGAATAAACGATAACTGCCGTTAGTAGGTGCGAGTTAAAAATACAAGACAAATCACTGCGTAAAATTTTAAAACAGGAAAAAACATTTATTGTACAATTACTTTTTACAATAATCACAAAGTTACAAACAAGGACAAGAAAGGTTGCACAAAAATTTCCTTCTGTGTACCTAACATGGCAGGATAACAATACTTTCCTGGAGTTTCTAAAAAGGAAATACCCACAGAAACAAGCTATGAAATTAATAATTGTTTACTTTAACTCCGGTTTTTGAAAATTCAGACCCTTCAAAAATACAAAAAACATCAAAAGAATGGATAAAGTTTTCAGACCCTTTAAATACGAAAAACACCAAAAGAAGGGATAAAGTTTTCAGACCCTTTACATTACAACAATACCAAAAAAAGGGACAAAGTTTTAGAGCTTTTACAAAAGTACATAAAAAAGGGACAGAGTTTTTAGAGAGACCAACACATAGCAGAACACAAGGCACCCACCTCCTTCCTTAGAAGAATTTTCGTTGTCTACAGGCTGGATTGGTTTGGAAAAGGTTGGTTCTACTTTCTTTGAAGAATTTTCATTGACAGCAGGCCGGATTGGTTTGGTTAGGTAGTTGGAGAAAGGCTGATTTATGGCCCACTTGCCAGTCAATGTAGAGTGTTGGTGTTAAGTGGTCTGCGAACTGCGTGTCGTCTCTGCCTCTGTTCCCTTTCGTTATTTTTTGCTTCTACTGATCGTTTCTTAATGTCCTCTCTTTTATTTGGAAAAGTCGGCTCCACCTGGGGCAATCCGGAATTTCTACGGGTCTCAAAAACTTAATTTTCATTGGCCAATATATGAAAAAGGGCTCTTTTAAAAATGTCACTCTTGGCAGCTATTCCTGATCCGAAAGGGTCATAAATTTTACACAAGAAAATCAGAGTTTGGCAAACAATTTTGGCGGCAAACCGTGATCCGAAATGGTCATAAAAATTGCACAGTTTTTTTCTTTTTTACACACACCGTCCGGCTTACAAAAAAAATACACCTTCCTCAAAAGATGTGTAAATAAACAAAGAAAAAAAACAAAAAAAAACAACACCTAGATGGTCATATATTTAAATTGACATTTTTTTTTAACTCTTTCTTTAAATAAAAATAAAATTTTTATAACTGATGGGCTGCTGATGTCAATGCCAGTGGTCCTCTGGTGGCAGCCAGTGGTAACATTATGAAGACGACCACACCGGCAGCCCAACAGTAGGCCACCAGCAGTAAATGCTAGTGGCATGCCACCCAGTAGTAGATTGGTGGCTTGCATTTAGGGAAGGTATCTATACCAGCCAAAATGTTTTCAACCAAGCAATACAGAATGAAAGCAAATACACAACAGTTTAAAATCTTATGCTATATTGATTCCATTAAATAAGATAGAATAATAAAATTCTGACTGTGGAGAAAGGTACAAATTTCATTAAAAACAATGTCCAAGTTGGAAAGAAACAAAGAAGAGTACTATCCACTGATCAGCTAGAGAGGAGTACTTTCATTTAGTTTTGGGACTCTACAAATAGGTGAATAAAAAGAGAAGGGAGAGTTTCTATTCAGAAGCATGGGTTTTTGAAGCCATCTTTCAAATTTCTTCTACATCCATTTTATCTGTGGCATAATGATATTTAATGAGTTTAGGCAAACTCATTAAATAACATTATTTCATTGGTTTCATTATTTTATGTAACAATTAGTAATTCCATTACTTCTCCTTTTTCAATCTACATATGATTTTCTATTCATCTTTTGTAAATAACAGAAAAATCATTGGATTCTTATTATCAGGATAGGTGTAGCCAAAACCTCCTCACACACTTATTGTTTATTCTCTTCTTCTTACCTGTGTCATGGTATCACACCCAGAAACAAAAATCAGACCATTGTAATATAGATATATGATAGACAGTTTTAAATTTTTTTAATGATTTGCAACAATACAGATAAGATGCAAAATTACTTTAATAATATGAATATTACATTAAGAATTAAGATAGAAAATTATTTTCATTGGAAAAGATTAACTTTCAGTGAAGCAACATCTTTATGTGATAGTTTTTGCTGCTAACAAATTCTTGAAAACTAATCTTGTATATTCTGCATTAAAACAATTCCTACAACTCAGTTGCATTCTAGAAAATATTCAATGATTTACTAGAAATTTTATTGTCAGTGTTGATTTCAATCTTATTCTGAATGACTGCAAAACATTTTCCTCTCCCCTTTTATAAGTAGAAGCATACAAATGTGTGCTGGGATTTTTTTTTCTTAGCCAATAAAATAGGCTGCTTTGCAGTTTCATATGACTCAGTTGTGATTTGCCTTGTATTGAAGTCAGAATGCTACATTCACTTGTCTGAACTTGCTTTAGTGTGTTGACACCAATATTTACTTTATATACTTTTTGTCTTATTACTGTTAATTTCCCTTGCATATATTGTTTGCTTGTTTACTTGATATTTTCATTTTTTCCCTGTTCCTTTTTATTACAAAATTTGACAATTCTATTTGTTGGACAGTTTTGTTATTTATTTTACATTTGACCATGGCTACTCCATCCACAGTTAGTATGCCCTTTTTAGTTCTTATTTCTTGTTAGATTTATACTCTAATGTTTGGTATAGATCTGATTAACACAAACTAAATGAGATAAATTATTACAATCAATTTCTTGGTGGTATAAAATTTTAATTGTTGAAATGTTGAAGATTACTTTCAAAAAAGAAAATGGTTTTGAAAATAATTTTCAATATGTCTTTATGTCTAGGGTACATTTAAGTTTTGATTATTTTCAAGGAAGCCTAACTTATGAACTGGTTATTAAATTTTTCAGATATTAATTCAGTAGAAAACCTTAAAAGAAATGTACATGGAAATGGAAAATAATATACAAGCAAAAAAAATCTCTGGGAAGCAATGGAAACTGTTACAAGTCATGTTAAATTTGAAAGTAGAAAAGTTAAGAAAACCAGTGGTTAAAAGACTGATAAAGTTAAAGAATGTCAATGACTATATATTAACATAAAATAATAAAATAATTTTTTCAGGGATATTTTGTTAGTCAAATATATGCTTTTAGGGTCCATATCTTTTGTGTTTACTAATAAATAAAAATTTATGTTTCACTTTGTTTTTATAATATCCTATAAATAAATTTCAGGTTGCTTTTTCAACATTATTGCTATTTTAAAATTCACAGAGCATTTGTCTTTGTGCATTATAGATATGTTCATCTTTGGGAGGGTCAAGTTAGGAACTAATTAGTTAAATCATACTGTGGTGATGTAACTTACACTTTTAACATGTGTACAAACACATACTAGCATGTCTTGTCATTTAGGCATTTCAGAATGGCAAAAATATTTAATAGGTCACTATCAGGTTTTTGACATTATTTATGAAATGATCTAATAGTTTCCAGTCATTTAATCAGCAATGAAAACCCAATTTTTACTGAAATTATCACATTTGGCAAATGGGTTATAGATGCAGAAAATATAATAACTGCTGTTAGTAGTCATTGTAATATTAATGAAAATGTTAATGATAGAATAGTCATGGTAACACTACCA